CCAAAACCCCAAAACCCCAAAACCCCAAAACCCCAAAACCCCAAAACCCCATGATCAATTTCTTTGATAGAATTTTTAAAAAGAAAATGCGGATCATCCAAATCTTTCTTGTTTCTTTCCTCATCAGCTGAACTATAGCAGAGGTCTATGAGCCTGAAACTTATGATGAATGTATCATCAAAATCTATGATCTAAAACCAAAGGTAACAAACCTAGTGTTTTATGACCCAACAACTGAAAACTCAGTCATGGGAAAACCAGAAGAAGACTCTGGGTTCTTTGGTAACATCTTCCAATCAGTAGGAAACCTCTTTACTTCAGCAAAACCTACAGTGAGAGATGTGATCAAAGATCTAGGCCAGACTGGTGAGGTTTTGAAGATAGATGTCACCAACCCAAACCTTGAACCACTGATGGAAGATTATAATGTTGAAGCAACCCCTTATATCGTTGTTCTTAAAAATGATGCAGTTCTGTATTCTGGACACGAAAAGCCTACTCTGCCCAGTGAAAACTCAGAGGGAGAAGATTTGAGCAACAAAGCATCAGCTGAAGCAGTTGAGAGCCAAAAGCAAAAAGGTCTTGAGCATGATTTATACTCATTAATAGAAGATACAGAACCAACTTCTATAGACTCACCAAACTCAGCTTCTGAATCAATAATCGGTGAATCTGAAGTTAAATCAGAAGCTACTCTAATTAAACCAAAAACAATGTCTTATCCTAAGCCAGCCAAGGTTGAGCCTGCTCAGTCCCCTCAATCAGATCCAAAATCATCTCAAGCTTCAGGTATGACTTTGAAGAAGCATGAAAATGCCACCACATCAGCAATTTCTGCTCCAAAGGAAGCTGCTTTGGAAAATATCGATCAGGATTGGAAAACTATTCTTCAGAAAGAAGAAAGAATTGCTGAGAAGATCAAGGGTATTTATGATGAAGACAAAAAGTTATCTGAAACCTTAGAAGAAGCTGAAGACGATATTCACGAGTCAGAGGAACTCTTTTATCAAGCTAAAAATGCTATTGATAAAACTCTTCAAGAATCAGAACAGCAAATGCTACAGTATGAATCTGAGCTTGATAAACTTTACAATGCAAGATTAGCTGCTAAAAAGGCTAGAGAAGATCTGTATCACCCATATGGAAACCGAATTCCTACTAAAGATGGATACCAGAAGCCTACAAAGAGTAGCCAATATAAGCCAGTGAGGAAGAGACAGCAGGGTCCTCCAAAGAGTGCTAATTTCCATGATATGCTTCGCTCGACTGACACATCTTCAACAGGTATTTCCAACTAAGCCATCCATTAAGAAGAATGGTTAGAATTAATAAAGAAAAGTATCAGTTTGAAATTTGAATTCAGGGGTTTTGGGGTTTTGGGGTTTTGGGGTTTTGGGGTTTTGGGG